GATATCCTGGCTCCAGTGGAGGATGGTCCCTCTGATGATGTACCTTTCATAACTGATTCTTTGGTATTCCCCAAAAAGTCTTCCAAGGGTTTGCAAGCAATCGATATGTTCCCTAAAGCATGATTATTAGTTCTTCTTGACTTTATGTTAGCTGGCTTAGCTGTAATTATGACTAATTGTCATAAAAATTACCTGGTCCTTTTCTGAACCCAGCCATGGAGTTAGATCTTCAGCTCTGGAAAATCGGCATTGCTCAGTGAGCTCCTCTCACAGCCCCCCAGCTGCAGACTCGGTAGCCCTCCTTCTCCTCTTCCTGGTCTCATTCTTGCTGCTGCCAAATCTGTGGCATTGTACTGAGCTGACAGTGCTGTTAATTAGTGGAAATCCAACTGCATGGATCAGCTACTTGCTGGGTAAAGAAGCATTCACTTTTACTGCAGTTAAATCCAAGTGGTTCTTTTATCACAGCCCTCATTATGTTAGATGGTCCCTTCTTTTTCTCCTTTGTAATGGGGAAACTCTCAAAGTGTCAATAATACTGCTAGAAATAACTAGTTTGGAATACTGTTAGACTGTGTAATGTTATGTAAAACAGGTTTGTGGGGTTGGTTCTCAATATGAAGTTAGGTAAGATTGATAACTATATCCACAAGTGTGTGTTTCACCATAGCTGTGTGTGGGATGCCAGCTGTCCTGAATTCCATGGATTGAATCGCCTCTTTTTCCTTTTTCCTTTCTTTTAATATTAATCAAAAATATTTGAGGCTGATAGTGAGTTTCATTCTGTGTTAGTACACATGAGATTTTGTAAAAGCTTCTTCTAATCATCTAGCTGGCTTTGTTTTTGTATTCTAAGGCACAAGAATTAATGATTGCACAGTTGTGAGCTGTGGTATGCATTCAGCATGTTACAGCTACAGGCTGTGAGAGTGTCACCCTCTTGGTGCAGACTATTTGAGAGCTGATTCATGTAAATTAGAATTCTCCTCCTTTGTGAAATAAAATGGGCTATACAAATCCAATAAATAAAAAAGAAGCGTTGATCCTAATCACAACAGACAGCAAGATCGATTTCTGCAGCATGCTGTTAGAAGTGCATGGTATAAAATCAATCTGACATGCACTCTGTTCTCCCTGTTACATACTAGTCTCTTCCAGGGCTTTTACATCGACCGTTTATTTGAATATCTTCCTGGGTCAAGACTGCTAAAATTGGCAGTACTATGAGAGACAGGCTTGCATACCTTACAAGTCACAGGAGATGTCAATGATTGCCCCTGTCTTTTGATGTTACTTCTGTTTATGACAGAGCATCCTTCACCAGCAGACTTCTTAGTTCAAGCTAAAAGCTGGTCTGGTAATTTCTACAAAACACTGTAGTATTTTCTGCCTTCAATGACTCCAGAAGAATTTGTCACATTAATTAATAACAATCAATAGGAGTGGTGCTCAATATTAGGTATTGCTAAAAAAAACAATGTCTGAAGAATGCCCATGAACAATTGCAGGCAGTTCAAGTTCAGTTCAGGTAGCTGAATTAGTCTCATCCATGAAGGCAAGATCAAGCTGAAGAAACAAGGAGCAGCAGACTGTTAACTGAAGATTGGAGACATTTCTGCTAAATGTAGATTGACATAGGTACTTATAAAACAGTTTTTCTTCAGTGTTAAAAATTCCATACTGAAGTTAACTGGATTAACAGAATGTGTTTCATAATTTACCTTCAGCCTCCAACCTCTAGAATTAATCCAGTGTAAATACACTTCCAATACTGTTAACATATGCCAGTATGTACCAATACAAACGTTAGGTTGATAAACAAATTATAGCAATAGTATCTGCTGGATGATGGATTTAACACTGATCTACAGGAAGGTACTTTTCTATCCACCTTTCAACAACTGGAACAAAACAGATTCACTTTTCAGCATGGACTCATGACAAATGATTCAGTCATATCCAATCTGCTTTGGCCTTTATTCATGTTTGGTTTTGTTTTATACTGACCTGTATACAGATAGGTACAGTTATTTTTTCTCATATCTGATGACATCTGAAGATTTCTGAACTTTATCCATCTGTAGAATATATTTGCTTCTGCTTATGTAGCCCAAATTGCAAGTCTCTATTACAAAGGAGTCTGTAATTAAGGCAATGTTCTCGAAGCCAGCCCAGGTCTACAGGTAGGTGATAGCAGCTGGAGAAGACTTGTAGCCTGTTCCTAAGAACACGCTTTTCTTACAGAATGTAGCTTGGAAGCAATTAAGCCTTGAGATTGCAGTCACATAACTGTTTCAGAGGATAATGGAAGGAGCATGTTTTATTTGCATATCTTATCAGATAGAAGATCTGATAAGAAAAATACAAGTCTTGACAAACTTTTACTACACTAATAGCACCTGTGGACTCTGCTAAGTGTTCACGGTGAGGTTTCTTAAATGTCTCTCTCCCACTTGTTAATCGGCCTCACTGTACATACAAGCTTACCCTTATGCTCCCTGCACAGCACATCAGGCATAGGATGGCAGCCTCCCACGCTGCTTTCCCCCATACGTTAGGGGAAACCCCATGGAACCAAAGCCATGGGTTGGCAATGCCCAAGGAGGTCACAGAGCAGGGGATATCTCCAGCTGATATCCACAACTTGTGTCCTGAAAGGTTTCTCCTTCCTGTTATTCACAGGTGGTAACTGCAGTGGAGGGGACAGCAGCAGCAGAAGACAGTCTGACAGTGGCAGCAGGAGCTGGTGATGGTGCTGTCACTGAAAAGGAGGCTGTTGCTGAAGGTGAAGAACCTCAGGGAGAAGAAAAGGAGGCTGATGCATCTCAGGTAACTCATGCTGCTACATGGGAGAGTGTTAGAGGAACTGGCCCAGATCCAGCATCCTGACACAGGCAAGGCTGCTGCAGCTCTGTACCTCCAGATCCAATGAGTAGTGAGGCTGAGCATGTATTCCTTGTCAGTACACAGACAGAGCACACATATACACCACATATATACTTGTGTACACCACCAGCCACAGAAATTGCAGACATGCACAGAGTACGAATACAAATGGAACTGGCAGCCTCATCCTGCTCCCCTCACCAGCTGAGCAGGGTGGAGGCCTACCAGCGAGAAGATGTATATATTCTCATATACATGCCGCTTTTGGATCCCACTCTCACCACTTGCTTTCATCTGGGTGTTCAATCCCTCAAGGCAGCAACCCTGCTCCAGTTGCTGGTACACACCTTTGCACATGGACATAAACACACACGTGTCCACAGATGGAGCTGGCCAGGACTCCTCTGGTCACCAGTAACCAACCGGTCACTGGTACAGGGGCTGTGACACCAATGCATGCATATACATGGATATTACAGGGCCTTCGCCCTGGAGAAGAGTTAGCATGGAATTTAATGAGAAGATACAACAAACCATGCTCATCAGGTACAGGGCACAGCCACACATTCAAACCATCCATTATTTACATGCATTATCCCTTTGTTGTCCCACACTAATTCTTCCCTAGATCACCTAGATCCACCCCTTTCCCTGACTTTGGTTTCTCCCCTAAATATACCATAGGAAGTCTTGTGCAATAATATGTTCCCCATATTATTGTCACACCTGGATACTCAGGCTGAGGCTGCCATTGGACAGGTCCCTTCTGAGTCCTCAATTTGTGCTCCCATCTGTCTTGGTGCCCCTGTGCTTCTCTGGGAGATGGACCCTCAGTGGGTTGACGACTCCTGTGATGGGCCTGAAAGCAGCCTGTGCAAAGTATTATTTGGGTTCCCCCTCTTGCTATTGATTCTGTGCTCCTCTGTGGGCATGTGGATAAGCTTTATCACGTAGCCTAATGGTGTTCAGGGCTTTCTTTGGAAGAACAGGGAAAGTTATGGACTTTTTTTTTTTATTTTTTGTCTCCCAGTGTCAGGTCCTATCAGTAGCATTACTTTGGTTTTGGTAAATCAAGGTGGTCAAAATATGTATCTGCATCTGGCTTGGTGTTTTTTCTTATTTGATCTCTGAGGAGCTGGGGAACAGCTATTAGAGCAGACCCTGCAGCTGGGCAGACAATTGCCACCTTCTGTCATCTCATGTTGTATTTCTTCTGTGCACCAGAGAAAGATATCTCACAGAAGAGTAGTGAACATATACTTCTCAGCTTGGATGCTCCAAATAGTTTCATTAAATGCTTTTTCTCCTAAGCTGCATTATTGGTCAGATGCTAGCTTTCTCTGCTTCCCATTATATTGCTGTAAAGCAGAAGAAATCCCCTCAGTCCATCAAAGTAAAAGGTCACATTTTCCTCTTTCACCACCTTTATATCACTATTATCCTGCTGATTTGAATTTCAGAAAAAAACATAGGACAGTGACTCATGGAAATGGTGGCATTATCCAAGCACACCTAAAGAACAGGCACAAAGAGAAAGTTCTGATAATTTCAGTGCACATTGAAAATGAAATCCAAACTACCTGCAGAGTGTTTTTATTATTTTCCACAACAATTTATATTAATACAGCAAGTAGACTTAGGAGAAATAAGGGGAGATGGTGAAAATTAAAGAGAAGGGATATACTCCTTTGTATTTCTGCATAAGTGTGGTTTTCTGTCTTTATGTAAGAATCCACTCTACAGTGAAGAAAGAAATCCCCCTATTTGCTCTCTGCAATAGGTAAACAACTGTGTTTTCCAACTTGAAATAAAGTAATAAATACCCTACTGTTGCCTTTTGTTGTTTTTTTCTTTGTTTGTTTTTCCCTAGGAAAAGGTCAGCAGCATCCCTTCAGTAGTAATAGAGCCAGCATCAAACAATGAAGGGGAGGGAGAAGAACAGGAAGTTGTCATGAATGAGTCCAAAGACGTTTCAGCAGAGTTAGACACTCAGGGCACTGACAGTTCTCCCAGTGAAACTTCCCAAGTTGGAAGTGAGCAGAAACCCGCTGAAGAAATCCAGGCTGCACCTTCTCAAGATCAACTTGTTTCATCAGAAGACGCAGCTTCTGCCATGCCACCCGGCTTTCTCTTTAAGGTCAGCTTGTTCATTCTTCTTTTAGACATCCCTTCAGATCTAGCTTCTGTATCTGAAAGTGTAAACATTGTTATGTTTTTCTGAGGCCAAAAGATGCTTAGTTTCCCAGCCACATGTATGCAGATACACACACACAGACAAACACAACTTTTTGGTTGTGTTGTCTCCATATGAAAAATTTGAGAAAATATATTTTCTGCACACAGTTTTTTGGGGGTATTTCACTATGTAGCTGTAGGATGTGCAGGAGTACTCCTTTCATCTCACCAAATTACTACTGTCAGTGAATATATTGAGTAAAAGTCCATTGCTACAGATTTATTCAGCAATATTGCATGATCATATGTTAATTATATCAGATAAGGCTTTTTTTTTTTTGCTGACTGAGAATCTATAATAGAAGTTCTGGCTCTATTGAAATCTATGGGACTTCTACAAATCATTGTAATGAAGCTAAAGTGTAATTTTATGACTTTAGTAATATTATACTTATAAACTGTTAGGGTAATCAGACAGAAAAGTTTAATGAGGCATGAGAGAAATTCTCTCCTTAGCTGGCAAGACCCACAGGGTTTCCTGATTCACAAGGTTCTTTGATAATTCTTCTCACTTCAGCATCACTAAGCAGGAGGAAAGCTCCTTGAGGATGGATGAACTTTACATGCTTCCTATTATCTTTGCATACTTCAAACTAATTAGTCCCATAGCACTACAGCAGTATGCTATTCTTCCTTATCTATTCTCATTGCTCAGTGTTTTCAGCAAACTTTGAGAATAGCATTAAGGTTAGGGTGACCAGTATCGTGCAGTTTTGACTCAGACATGCTGACATAGTTCATCTTTTGTTTTTCATTACACTCCCTTGGGTCAGACATAAATAAGGAGAAGCAGAATATATGCCTGCCATCTGGTTCTTGATGCCATTTCCTTTCATTATTGTAGAGCTGCTATGGAACTGGTCGTGCCTTTGAGAAAACTAGGGTAGCATTTCTCTTAAGGAGGTACTATAGAACTATTTAGTTAAAAGGATCTGTTCTCAACAGCATAATGACCCCACCAATGTATTCATAATCACCACTTTGAAAGACAGATAGTTTTGGTATTCCCATCTGCCAGTTAATGGGAGTTCTTTCCAGGAGAAACATAAGGTAGGGTTCCCATTACTCGCCTCTTTAATTGTCTATTGAAATTGGTGCCATACCTCTCACTCCAGTTTCCACGGACGTTTATGGCAAGAATAATATCTAGTGGCCAGAACAAGTGAGGGGCTGAAATAACAGTACCTGGGAGTCTTTTCCAAGCTTATTTGCAAAATCCTGACATCTTTCTCTCAGACCTAGTAATGATAGTGGGGAATGTTCCTTACACAGAAGGAGTAAGGTCACAGGACTTGTCCAAGAGGCAGTACTTGTGGGGTTTTGCAGTATCATCTGTCCCTGAGATATACTATGACCTTGTGAAAGGATGTCAGATATCTCTCAGGAAGATTTACCTAAGCTTCCTTCATCTCTTTCTGAAATTATGAATAGAAACTTTAATGTGAAATGATGTTAACATTAACAATACCTATCATACCTATCTATGGCCATGCTTCCATAAAGAATAGGGAGTTAAAAAATAAATATTATTATTTATTTATTGAGGGGTTATTAGTTATTTACTTATTGGGGAGTTAAAAAAATAAATAAATGAAAGAGTGCATTAATCTTCCTTTTTTTTTTTTTCCCACTGTCTCCATTTTGATCATGTCTATGTGTTTGGTATTATTTTCTTTAGGTTGAAGTTCTACATGATTTTGAGGCAGCTAACAGTGATGAACTTAATTTAAAACGAGGAGATATTGTACTAGTAATTCCTTCTGAGACCACAGCTGATCAGGTAAAAAGCATGATTATTTCACTTATTTATGGTTTTCTTTGTGTTTTTTTTTTTGTTTTTTTTTTTTTTTTTCTCGCAGATTATAGTTGATAGGAAATGTTCATTCAAAATGTCACTGCTGTTAGAAAACATGAACATTCTAATTTTGTTTTTGTACTTAGTTTCATTTGAGACTAAACAGTATAGATGACTGTGGATAAAGTCCCATGGTCCAACCACAACATATTTTTTCTAGGTCTTTTTTATGCTACTTTGTAGCAAATTTTATACAGACATACATGCACACATAGACTTAAAACAGAAGGTGACTTATGAATTGTGCATTGTGTTGCTATCATCTTGTCTTAATGTTGAAGCAGAACTGGTTAGATGGTCCCCACATATTTAGACTGTTTATGTGGGGCTTTGAATAAATAATACACATTTGCCCAAAGACTGGCCACTGAGACTGCTACAACTGTGCTGTCCTTCAGCCAAGTTACAGGGAGGTGCTCCTCTCTGTGCTCTGTACCTCCAAAGCTAATTCTGGAAACCTCACACAGAAGTGTTCTTGAACTGCATTGGTGATCACCTTGTCTTTGATAAAAGAACCCAACAGTTTAATTTCAATTAAGTAATTCCATTTTGTTTTAACCATGCATTTCCAGTGAATTTTTAAACAATTTCATTCCACATATTGAACTGAATTGCAGTGAATTGATTTTTGACTACTGCTTTAAAAGAAGACCATCCACTTAGTACCAGCCACTTCATGGGCATCTGCTTGTGCCAGAAGTGTCAGTGAAAAGTCTCCCACTGAACTGGGGACTGGGAGGTGGGGTACTGAACCCTGCTTGCTGAGGTAGCTAAGAGCTCTGCTCTGAATGAAGAACATTTCTTAAAATAGGTTTAAATACTAACTCCACAAGCACATATTTGGAGAGCTGGGGAGTGTATTTGAAATTGGTTTGATGCCTGATGATGTGAAAAGGTAGGTTATAACCAGTGTTCAGGTTCTCAGCTGAGCTTTCTTCTGATACAAGAGTGTCGTGGTTTAACCCGGCCGGCAGCTAAACACCACACAGCCATTCGCACCCCCTCCCCCTCCCTCTCTGGGACGGGGGAGAGAAATGGAAAGTGAAGCCCGTGAGTTGAGATAAAGACAGTTTAATAAGACAGGAAAATAATAATAATAACAATAACAATAACAATAACAATAATAATAATAATAATAATAATAATACAATTATGATAATAGTACTACTAATAATAATGTGTACAAACAAGTGATGCACAATGCAATTGCTCACCACCCGCTGACCGATGCCCAGCCTAACCCCAAGCAGTCCGGCCCCCTCCTCTGGCTAGCCACCCCTATATATTGTTTAGCATGACGTCAGATGGTATGGAATACCCCTTTGGCTAGTTTGGGTCACCTGTCCTGGGTCTGTCCCCTCCCAGCTCTTACTGCACCCCCAGCCTGCCTGTTGGCAGGACAGAGCAAGAAGCTGAGATGTCCTTGGCTTGGTATAAGCACTGCTCTGCAACAATTAAAACATCGGGGTGTTATCAGCACTCTTCTCATCCCAAGCCAAAACACAGCATTCAACCAGCTACTAGGAAGAAAATCAACCCTGTTCTAACTGAAACCAGGACAAAGAGACAAATAATTGTTTTGTTTTAGTTTGTTTTAATTTCTGAATAAAAGATAAAGATCTTTTCTTTCAGTAGGGCACTGTTCTTCTATAGGGATAGATTCTGTTATCCTTACACAAATTATGCTGCACAGTACCACATGGGCAGTTCAACTGATTTAATTATCAGTATCTGCAGAATAGAACACTGCAGGATAAGGATATCAGAATCTTTATCTTCAAGCATTTTTTCTTGGGATGTTTTGTATTAATTGTGCTTAATCTTCACTTAGTGAATCCATGAAGTATCTTTTTCTCTTGTGGTGTGCATCCAAATACCATTAACATTAATTGGAGTAAATTGTGTGCAGTGATGAAGAAAATAAACCTTTATGTATTCATGTTTCTGAGACCATTCTGTTCCTATCTTTATTACTTAGTACATATTTGCCCTTCACGTTTAACATCACCATAAAACTCAATATTTTTGTCTTTTACCAAATACTTTGTTGATTCATATGTAGTATTTTTATCTTATTCTTTTTTTCTCCTATAAAATTGACCTGTCTAAAGCCATAATTCTTATATAGCTGGTGACATCAGCATTCCCTGCTCAAAACTAACCAGTCCCACCCAGTGGCTTCAATTTTTCCATTATTATTGAGTTGAAATTATTATCCATTAAAACTGTGCAGTCCTTAGTAGAATGTACTCTGGCCATGCTAGAAAACTGTAGTTCCTCTCTCTCAGATAATCTGTGTGCTTCAAAAACATGTCCCCAGTTATTCCATCTCCTTGTGTACTTTCTGTACATTAGTAATATGGCAGCATTATACATTTCCTGCTAATCATCACTTTGCTCTGGCTCCTGTTCTTAAAAGGAACAAAGCATGGAGTCAGTGTGATGAAAATAGAATCATAGAATCATAGAATATCCTGAGTTGGAAGAGACCCATAAGGATCATTAAGTCCAACTCCTGGCACCGCACAGGTCTGCCCAAAAGCTTAGACCATGTGACTAAGTGCACTAAATAGGTTGATCACTTCATAAAAATACTGAATGGATTTTATTCCAGGTAAAATTGATAGCATGTCAGAGAACCCAGCACTCTCCAATAAGAAATCTCTCTTTAAATTGACGATGATTTGGATTGCAATTTTGCATGTCAAGTTCTGGTTTAGGCTGAAGTTTACAGGAATTTTTGGAAAAGCAGTTGAGTATCAACTGACTTTGAGTTTCTAGGGACAGTAATAGCAGAAGATACAAGAATTGTTATTTCTTCTGACTGACAATATATGAATGAGACAAAAGAACCCTCAAGAAAAATGAAAGTCAAATTAAAAACTTCATTTTCCCCTTGATCTGTCTTATTATATAATGGTTCTAGGCCACTGCTATGCTCTTATTGTGTAAGTATGCCAATATTGTTGTGAGAACTTCAAAAAATCTCCATATCCATTTGCCCAAATGCTGATCTGTTTCAATACTGAATGACCCAGAAGGCTGATTATTCAACTTTGAGTTCAGCTAAGGGTTAGATGGGCTAAAGGTCATACAGTA